CAGCCCCCCCCCCCCTACTTTCACCTCATCGACGGCCCCCACACATCAGATGCATAGTCTGGTCTGTTTTACAGCTAAGGGATGAAACACACAGAGACTGCATCGTAAAATATCACCCTCTAAACGATGAAAGACAGTTTGCACCGTAAAATATCATCTTACAAATGACACCTGGAGCGGTCGTTTGTCAAGAAATCCAAGTATGCAAATTAACTTATTTTCATTTATATATATGATTGCGGTTCGGGTTCGAGTTGCGATGGAATTTTTAACGATTTTTGGGTTGAGGAGCTGCTTGAGGCTGTGGTTGGGACGCCCGACAGCTGAGTACAATCCCTCTAGCTTATTATTTTAGCGAACATCGATATCTCTCAGGCATATTTCCGTGGTGCCCAAGGTGTACGCTTGGTGGAAAGCAGTTGCGTTGCAATCCAGTAAACTCGTCGTCCAAATTTGTCGTGTTACTTACAGTTGTTCGAAAGCGCATGAACGAGAGCATAACAGGAAAAGAGAAGCGTTAAATAGAAGAATAGAAGGATTTCACTTGAATTTCATGTGTTTGAAGACATTTTATGACGCAGTCTGTGTGTTTCATCCCTTAGCTGTATACAGAGACCGAACAGTGCATGCGGGTAGTAGTGGGAATCATCAGTACAGCCTCCTACCCGCCATGTTTTGAATAGTCATTTAACTGATTTGCAAGACAAATGAAAGGAAGAAATAGATATGAGTGAAGGAGCAAACAAAGTGAGAAAGGAAGGAAAAAAGGGATGTTAAAACGTGAAGGAGCAAACTCACAGGAATGCAATGACACTTGGAATGCTCTGGTGACCCGTCTCATCGGCAACGATATCAGTGGCACCGGTCACAGCCTGATAAATTCCAATAGATGAATATGTGGTGCCCAAATCAATGGCGACTATTTTCGGTGGTGGCGGTGGTAGTCCGTATTTCCGGGCCAAATATCCGCCCAGCAACAGCGTCAGTAAAGCTGTCCCTAAAAAGATTGCCAATCGTTAAAAAGAATAACTGGCTAACGCACGGGCTGCCCGTGCGAAGATGCGTTTTTTGCATAGTTCCCCGCAGATTTTTGTCGCTACCGGCACTGGTTTTTCCGGCAGATGCTTCTAGCTAAGAGAATTTCAGACTGGCCGTCAGGACTGTTAGGAAACATACCTTCAAAATTCCAGTCTTCTGGCTTCTCAGATTCGCAAGTTAGCGACTTACCCGAAAAAAATTTTGGCGGGCCCGTAAGTGGATACTACGCTTACCCAGGGCTGGGTTTGCGCCCATTAATACCCACTCGGACGGGGAACATTCCCTTAAAATTTCAGCCTCCCAGTATTCCTGGTTTCCAAGTTAGGAGCTCACTCGTAAAAAATTTTGGCGGGCTCGTAAGTGGGTATCATGCGGGTAAGAGCGCCCATTTTGGAAATGGGGGCCCATAAATGCATGTAGATTAAGTTCCCAAAATTTCAGCTCCGTAGCTTTTGCTGGTCTCGAGATGAAAAATCGGTACAGACGCGCAGCGCACACACAGACAACCTCTCGTCAATATGCGTTTTCTGCATTGCATAGCTGGAAAAAACGCATAAAAAAGCGTAAGCTACTGAAAAGCACTCTGCTACTAGATTTTGTTGCAGTTTAAACAACATGATATATAACAGCAATACGAATTACACAGGAGGTATCATAGGTGGAGCCCTTTCCCCCAAATCAGCATGGGCAGGGAAGAATCGCACCACTCGTCTTCACATCCGGAAATGCGGTGCTAAACCACTGCATGACCCACAGGCGCATCCAAGGTGGGAGGACGGGTACAGCTACCCGTACTAGGAAAATCCGCCCCTCCCCAGCGGCACAAGCACCAGTGCTACAAAAGTCCAGGTTTAAAGCTAAAACTGAAAAAAACTCTCTTCCGCATCCGCCGTCGCCTCACTCCCCTCC